TTCTACAAGACCTTATTAAATACAGAAGATAAATGCAGAATTCCTCATAACTTAAGCTAAATCAGTTTAAGGCACTCATCAACTGAAATAAGAGTGACTAGTCAGGGGCGTTGCACTGATTTAAGTAAATCAGTTTTTAAACCAATTTCGTTAAATCAGTACAGTTTTCTCATGTTGACAAGCCCAAAGACATTCTGGAAGAATCAAAAGAAGGTATTATCTCAGATGATGTTATTCAGCAATGGAAATTTAAATTAAGATCATATTTATAAATGGCAGAGGATCTGTGTGATGGGGTTTCCTTCTTAATGTATGAAAATCCAGTTTGAATTGTTACTGATTTCCACATGTCCTTTTGAAGGTTGCAAATCTTGTGTATATGCACACGCTATGATTTTCAAAGAAAGCTATTGGTGCTTGTAGTGGGGTGGTCACCCTGCTCCTGCCCTGAAGGGGTTAAAACAGCTCTGGGAGAGGACTTCCCTGGGCAGCCAATAGTAAAAGCAGCCCTGAAGAGGGCTGTGGCTGGAAATAAGGGGACTGAGAATAGCTGGGGGAAGCTGATTGTGTAGCTCAATCAGGGCCCAGCTAGCCCTTATAAGAGAGCTGTGGGCCAGAAGCAAAGGAGTCTCACTCTAGTCCTGGAGTGGGAAGGGCTAGCTGCCTGGGAGTAAACTACCTGAGCTGGAGCAGTCCTGGGGAATAGGGCAAGGGAGCTGGAGAGCTCCAGCTTGGTAAACCCCCAGGCTGCAGGCCTTAATGAAGGCCTATGAAAAGGTACTGGGGCTGTAGAGGGGCGACCTGAGGATAGGCAAAGGCAGCAGGTCCTAACCCCTTGCCAATGATGAGTGGCAATTGCAGACTGCAGTCTGCCCCAGTGAGTGGGGGCTAGATGATGACTGGCAGTAGCCACTGAGGCAAGGTCAGTTTAGAGGGTTGGGGATTCCCCTGGGAGGGGAGACCCAGAGCGTGGGGGTACTGCTGGGGCAGAACCCCGAGGTAAAGGGGCAGCAGGGTCCAGAAGGGACACGGGGGCCAGCGGCAGGTGAGACACTGGCCTGCAGAGGGTGCGCCGAAGGCTGGAAAGAGCTAATTCCCGGATGACCAGCAGGAGGCGCTGTGCTGGTGAATTGTCACTTCACTACAGTGCTCAATGGACAATTCTTACAAAACTGGGAACACTTGCAATAGAACTGCTATGCTCAACCTATTATTCCCATTCCCTGGACCACGCTATTCATAAGATGTTCTGTACAGCAATTAAAATAACCTTCTGGATTGTGTGAATTACTTAAAATAAACATTTTGCTTTTTTTATTGTTAAAGCAAAATATGTGTTATGATATTTACTTTTCATGCATGACATTTGATAAAAACTGAGCTATCTCACAATGAGGCTGCTCTTAGGAGGAAAACTGTAGCTTACAGGGTGACTGGAGTTGTTTCACTGAAATGCACATTTGAGTATGAAAGACAAATAACATTCCTTTCAATAAATTATAACTCTGTAAATGGTGAATATTTTCTCACCATTTAAACAAAATTAACAAAGTTTAGAATAATTTGATAAAGTGTTGAGGTCTTAAACCTTAGCATGAATTATTTCATTTAATACAGTGAATTATGTTGGTAGGCCAGAGCTTTGATCTTATGTGGCCAGAAAAGTTAATTCAGAGAAGAAGAAGGTTGTCAGCTTTGATGAGATCATATCTGCATTGGTATCAGGTTTTTAAATTGTTGGACAAAATAATTACCCATTCCCTTTTTCCTGGAGAGACACACCCTTATCTTCCCCTCCATGCCAGAACTATTAATTCTCCAGTGGTTGGTTCAGTTACATTTCTGGATCCTTTTTGCTGCTGGAGGAAAGTATATGGGTTAGAACACAATGAAGATTTGAGCCCCATAAATGCAACTTGACTCAGAGGGAGATACAAAAACTCTAAAATGAACTAAACTAGATTTTCTGTACATAAAAAATGCCACAGTTGGGGGAAAGAAGGAAATACATCTTTTATCCATAGCCACCAATGATGTTGTGAAGTGTTGAATTAAACATGGGTTAACAGGAACTGTAGAAATGTTATGAATTATTTTTCAGATTGACATCTGTCCTGTGTACACGCAAATGGTAGTAAATGAGTATAAGGTACACTGTTACTCCCCTCCACCCACCACCCATACCTTGGCTCCACCTTTCAACATGCTAGTCAGTGCACTGAGGACATTTACTGTACCAGCTCTAATGCTGGCACAGCATATGTCTCTTCTGAAGCAGGGAGAACGGTGAGGCAGATGGTGACTCAGAATCTGCTTCAGGTCTGCTCCTGGAGCAGTGTAACTACACACCACCCATAACTGGAGTTTGTGGCAAACCCATAATTGGCTGCTTTATATTTATAGGGTATGTTCTTGAGGTACTTTAAAGGCTGATTTTTTTTATTATATGTTAACCTTTTTGGAATAATTTTGCTCTCCCTCACAGCACCAAAAATTTTGGAGTTGGGATTAATTTTATTAAATGGTGTGTAGAAAACAGGTTTTTTTATTTTTCTAACTGGACTTGTTCTGATATGTATTTCACTTTCTATATTTGCAATTTTTTTTCAAACGTTTTAGGTATGTACATTTATAAGAAGTTTTAAAAGGCTTTCAGTAAAAAAAAAAAAAAGTGAAAAATGCCACAAATTTAATTGAAAATATTAACTCAGTTGAATATGCAATCATGAAATATAATAAAACTTATTTTAATGTGGGACCATAAGAATTGAAATATCAAATCACACCAGTGGTCCATCTGACTCAGTATTCCCTCTGATGGTGGCCAATGCAAGATGCTTGCAAAGAAAGTTCAAGAAAAACCCTGCAAATAGAGAGAGCCCAATCCAAAGCCCATTGAAGTCAAAGGAAGGACTCCCATTTACTTCACTAGGTTTTGGATTAGAGCCTAATGGAATAACTTGCTCCTAAGGAAAATTTCTATGTAATCCCCATCAGTTAGTGATTGGCTTATGTCCTGAAGTGTTTATATTCCTTCCAAACTTTTTTCCTGAATATTTGATGTTTATACTCAAATATGATAAGATGTTTCCCAGCCAGTAATAGTTTACACATAAAAATACAAGTACGTCTTTAGGTTATATTAGAATTATACAGGAAGGATCTGTACGCATGATAGAGCAAGGGTGGTCTGGGGTTCAATAGTTAAGTTTCAGAGAGCATGATTGAGCATTGGGAAAACTTAGAAATCTAGGGAATAGGTTTTATTTGTTTTGTTAGAGAAAGATTAAGGAGTAGTTGGCCTGGGAGAAAAAATGCATATTGAGAGGGGCTATGAAGAGAATCAATTAAGCAAGAAGGGTGGGAGAAGGATCTGCTACTGACTGTGAACACACAAGTTGGGACAAAAAGAAATCAAGGATCAGGCAAATGAAGGAAAAAGATTGGAGAATAGAAAGAGATGAGGTTGGGGAGAAAGAAGAGATATCAAAAAGAAAATCTTCCATGGAAGACAACAAAAAGAGATTTTATAGTATACTCTGAAACGGACAGAAGGCTTGGGAAAATTTGCTGATGGGTTAATGTTTCTGGGAAAGGGTGAGGTGAGAAGAGACCCAATTTTTGACGTATCAAATTCAGAAAGAAAATGACCAAGGAAAGGTGACATTGAGAAGATAAGAAGGCCCGAGGCTGAATGACTCATGTTTTGAGGGTTAAATACATTAAGAGATAATTCATTCCTGCTGGAGAAGAGACAGCTGTACCCCACTGGCAGTGACCTGTGGAAGACAGTTAGCAGTGTTTGCACCACTGCGATCCCTGGGCAGCCTTAACTATCTGTGAACAATCCCACTTACAGAAACTGCATAAGGCATTCAGCACATTCTCTGATTGACCCGGACGTGCCCCATCCTGGCCAATCCTGATAAGTTTTGGACCTACACTGGCCAGGATCATAGACAGAGCAGGGGTTGCAGACACTTCTGTGTCATTGCTGCCCCATTCCAAGTAGATTTTCCAGTACTACGGTCCCTGCCACCACAAGATATGCAGAGAACCCCAGTGATTATCCCACGGCTGAATCTGTTCCTAAATCTTCTGTCTGAACCTCAAAATGCACCTTAGGTATGTGGAAATGTTAATATCTTTTATTGGTTACAAAATTACCAATTATTTATTTTAGTGATATATTGACAGATATCCATAACAGATGCATTATGGCTGTTTTCGTAGTGGCTAAGATTTTGCTACGAGCAACATATTTTTTATTGCTTTATTTTGTTTTTTGCTGTGTCTTTATTGGCTTTCCACCCAAAAATAAAATAATTAAATAACATTTTTGGTTAATTGAGAGTGGTATAACCAGTCTTCACTAGTTGCTATAAGAAATTTAAAACAAACTTCTTTTTCACTGGTTCATAGAAACATTCATGGATTAAATGTCCCATTACCATTATTAGTTAGCTAGAAAGAAAGAAATTCTGGTTTTGCCAAATATAGGCCCTGATCCTGTAAACATTGAAGCATGTGCTTAATTTTAAGTGTGTGAGGAGTCCTGTTGAAGATAATGTAATAATTACAACCAGGTAAGTCAGTGCTGTAAGTGTTTGCAGCATCAACATCATATATGGCTATGTATTTTTCTTGTCATTTAAATTAAGTACTGTGTGTTTTGATTGCTTTTAACTTATTTTCTTGAGCTAATGTTTACTTGTTCATTGAGTTTGATCTGACCAAAAGGTATGTCTGTGTGTCTTGGGTTTGTAATTATCAGGAAGTGTTTCCAGAAAGATTCAGTCATATTACTGGTTTATAAAAGGACAGGTGGCATTGAAAAGATATAAACAAAAGTTTATACATAAACGTTTGTTTCTTCATTTTCTCAACCTTTTTAAAAATATTTATCTTTGATGTTCTTTTGATGCAGAATCTTATTTTTCTCACATGCTATAAAAATGAAATACCATTACTTTAAAATATTATTTCAATGTCTTATGCAGGAGCACCTGTCATTGAAGAAGTACATTGTTGATATTGTGATTGAAAGCTCTGTTCCAGCAGAACCTTTAAAAGATGGAGAGGAGAAGCAAAAAACAAAAAAGAAGGCAAAGAAGTTGAAGGCTCGGATGAACTCCAGGTAATGCTAATATTGTTTTAGCTTTTCTCTAAACTTAATCTTTTGTCCTTTAACAGGAATGCTATGGAACACTGAAAAAAAGTGTAAAGTTATTTGCTTCAGAAATGTCTTGAAAATAACACTGATGAGCCTAATTTATAGCCACTTTCTCTGATTGAGAAAGAAAACTGAATATCGATCTGGAGCCCTTGCTTTCACCTGTTAAGAGCTTTTCTCATAATTGGATGCCAGTGCCCTGCCAAAACTGTAGTCTCTTCCAGAATACAATAGTATGTTTAAGTATGTGTAAACCATGCCTATTTTTCTTCTTAGCTATTGATTTTTAAATGAAGTATCAAAGAAAATCAATAGTAATCAACAAATAGAAGCCATCCTGCTATAGTGTCAAATCCCATGGCTGGATTTAATCAATTTTGTTGCCTGTCACAACAAGAAAAAGTTAGAAATATCTTAAAATGGAAAGTGAGTTGTCAGACCTGTAGTTTGTCATTAGCCTAAAAAGTGACATCTGCAGATCAGAATGATGTGCAGGGCATCATTATATCATGAACTGTGGTGTCTGTCTTATAGCTGAAATGTCCCCAACTGAGGTTAGCACAACTTCAATAGAATATCATAATTTGGATTTCCTTTTTAAAACAAACTTTACATTTACCTTTTAAAAAAAATTCTAAGCATTCATTAACATATTTTTTCTTATTTTTAATTTTGCTAAGAAAGTTATTTGAATAGATTTGTTAAAACAATAGTTTAAATAAAATAATAGTTCATTAATATGGCTGCGATGCAATAATGGTAACTGAAATCTTGCACAGATACACTTATTCTGTGTTTTACCATCTTGTTGCCTCAAGTTCTTTCCTTCCCCTTTTGCTTTTTTGTCATTGGCATCTTATATATGATCACCAAATTAGAGTTTACTGTTTTACAAGATGAGTGTATTGAAAGTACAGTGTCTACTTTCCTTCAGAGTTTCTGATTGCTGGGGTAGGGAGTTGTTCATATTGCTGATTTACTGTACTCATGGAGTCCAATCGTATATTCCTTTCTCAAGTAAAAGTTCCAGTGAATTCACTGAAAAATTTGCCAAAGTCAGGAAAACAGGATCAAGCCAATTGTTTGTTGTTGGCATCAATAACTGAAATATTCTGTCAGTATATCTTGAATTCTAATGTGTCACATGAGTCAGCATATTTGAAAAATATTACCAGTATTTATAATTACATCACTAATAGTAATGTGGTATGATTTTACAGATTTCATTTAATAGGATACTGAAATATGCACTGAAAGCTTCAAAATCTAAAAAAATAGAAATATATGAAAAGCAAGATAATTAATATTTTTAGTTTCAAGGAGTAGCCGAATAATTTTCTGTTATTTTAGGTCATTAACCTCGAAAAGAAAAGATAATTGTGAATTTGTATTGAACATTTAACCATAAATTCTTAAATGTAGCCATAAGAGGCTCAGCAAAAATATAATATGTGGTTCAGTCCAATAGTAGAACAGAACAAAGATTGTCCCATAAAATTTAAAGCAAAAGCAAAGCCTTAGTAAAATACTTTGCTTATACTCCATTTGGCAAATTAATTTTAACTGTACAGATACTGCTTTACTTTTAGGCTTACCAGTTGGCACCTTAATAAGCCACTGTAATATTGGTAAACACTACCTGGATACTCTCATGAAATCTCATTATTGATGTGGGGGAGAAGGGTTTCCCATATTCAGAACACAAAAGTGGGCTTTATTAGACTAGATGATTAATGCAGGAGGAAGCAGGAGTCTCAGTGTTGTGAAATACTTTATGAAATGAGTTATGTGATGTCTACCACATTTTTGTCAAACAATAATCCAGTTCTAAGACCACCAAACAGTTGGGAGTCACTATTCAAAACCAGCTCAGAACTTATCTGAAATGTAGATTTAAAGGCCTTATTAACTAATTGGGGAGGGGGACTGGGTGGGAAATGAGGCGCATGGGACAGTAATAATTCATTTAGAATTTCCCAGGAAGTCTTAAGTTGAGTTATCTATGTACCTTATTTCATCATGGTCATGGGAAACTTCCCCTAGGTTTGTAAACTTGGCAATTATGAATGTATTTCAGTTTTTAGAAAATTATAAGATTTTAAATTTGAGATGAAGCTAGTAACTGCACTAAAATAGGTTTGTGTTGCTTTCATGAGATGCTAGATCTTAAATCAGAATATGAAAGCAACCAAGAGCAAAGGTGAATGAAAGGACAAATTGTGATCAATGGGTTATTAGTTCTGTGTAAAAGTTTTGTTGGTCTATTAATAATATTTATAACCCTAAGCCATTAAACTGGTGCTGTAATAACAGTTGATATATATCTAGGTAAATTATCCCAGTTTAATATGTATGTGATGCTATCAAAGGAATGCTTGTGTGTGTGCATGTCAGATTGATGGTCAGTGAAAACTAAATAATAAACTCTGACAATACACCTGAAGAAACTAATGAAAGAATCTGTTTTGTGGTTTCTCATTTACAATTTGTTTAAAACCTTCCTTTCACAAAAAATTGTTGTGGTGCATATTTTAAGTGAATAATTTTTGGTTTACTTTTCTGGGCCATACTCCAAGTTAGAATGCCTTTGTACTGGATAAGAGACAGGAAACAAAAAGTGAGAATAAATGGTCAGTTTTCATCATGGAAAAAGGTTAACAATGGGATGACTCAAGGTTCCTTATCAGGTCCAGTCATGTTTAATATATTTATTAATGATCTGGAAAGTGGGGGGGTGAATAACGAGGTAGAAAACCTTTCAGGTGGCACAAATGATATATCTACATTACAATAAAAAAACCCTGGCACTGAGTCTCAGAGCCCATGTCAATTGACTCAAGTTTCCGAGGCTAAAAATTGCGGTGTAGATGCTTGGGCTGGAGCCCAGGCTCTGAGACCCTGCCCCTCACTGGGTTTCAGAGTCTGAGCCCAAACATTTACACTGCTATTTTTGCCCCTCAATGTGAGCCCTGTGCACCCAAGTCAGTTGACCTGAGCCCTGAGACTCACTGCTGCAGGTCTTTTTTTTGTTGTGTAGACGTACCCTAAGTGCTTTAGGTTAGTCAAGTCCAGGGAAGACAGGGAAGAACTTCAGAGGAACTTAACTAAGCAAGGTGAATGGGCAAATGAAGTTCACAGTAGATAAATGCAAAGCAGTGATCATTGGAGGGGAAAAATGAGCTATTCATATACCTTACAGAGTTCTGAATTAGCTGTGTCTACTCAACAAAGAGACGTGAGCATTACTGACAGTTCAATGAAGACCTCTGCTCACTTGTGCAGATACAGTCAAAAAAGCAAAGAAAATGTTAAGATCTGAAAGGATTGTAATGGAGAATAATATGGCAAATATTACAATCATATCAATGATATGCCGTCATCTGGAACCTTGTGTGTTGCACCGGTGGTCACATTGCAAAAAAGAATATTACATAATTGGTGGGGTTTATGGGGGAAGCAGTTCAGAGTAGGGTGATGAGAATTATTGGGGCATGAAAAAGATGTTGTATGAAGAGAAATGGAAAAGATTAGGATTATTTGCTTTACAAAGGAGATAAATAAGAGGGGACATGATAAAAGTATATAAAATGATTAATAGTATGAAGAAGGTAGATTGTGAATGTCTGTTCTCCCTGTCTCATAATACAAGAATAAGGGGACATTCAATAAAATGAAAAGATGGCAATTTGTAACTGATCAGAGGGAAATACTTTTCACTCAATATGGAATTAGAGTGTGAAACTCATTGCTACTGGCTACCATTGAAGCCAATATTTTAGCATGATTCAAGGGAGAGTTGGACATTCGTAGGGGTATCCAGAGTTATAATAGTTAATCCTAAAAGAGTTTTGGAAGGAATATAAAACCTCATTCTTCAGGCTTAAAGCAAAGACTGACTATTAGCAACTAGGATGATACCTTACTGGGGGACAGATTATCCTGTATTTGCCTACTGTGGGGTTTCAGCACCTTCCTCTAAAGCAATTTACGATGGCCACTGTCAGAGAAGGATCACAGATCTGATCACTGGTCTGATCACCTAAAGAAGTGACTGGATTTTCCTTTCTGAAAATCGGAATGACTTGCCCTACGTCAGAGATTGAGTCCGCTGCAGAGCTAGGAGTAGAACTCAACAGTCCTGAGCAGCAGCCTTACCTAACCCAAACATCACTTCCTTTCCACTTCAGTTTCTTCATGTGCTGTCATTTTCTCTCTGAGTAGAAGTCAATGTAGAGTTTTTCTAATGGATCCAAAGCTGAATTTTCTAGCTACTCTGTTGGGTATTTCTTTCACAGTAGGGCTCTGACTGTAAAAAGTGAAAATTTAAATTTTCTGCATCACCATAGTGTCTAAATTTGTTTTAACAAATATATTAAATGTTAATGAATCGCTGCAATGAATCCTGTCTTAGGTTGATGAACTGATGATGGTTATCATCTGTTGGTCCAGTCCAGCTGGAGCCACACTAAGCAGTGGTAAAGAAGTATTTTCTCAAATTTTCCTTTACTTTGGCATGTGGCCAATGTAAACAAGAATACTTTTAAGTGTCTAAACAGGTTTACGCTATTGAGTCCTGCTTACATTTCCCAAAGTAAAGCAGACATTCATAGAGGGATTTATTTTAGAGTTGTATGTCTCATGAGGTACATTGCTATAGTACTGTCATGAGTGTTTCATAGAAGATTTAATTGGATCCTCAAATGTAATGGACATTTTGAATGTTAATTATAACGCTTGTGATAAATTTGTCTTTTGATCCTTTAGACATGTCAAAATTAGTAATGTTTTCGTCTAGTCCTGCAATGACATTTTCAGGATAAAAATAATATTTCTCTTGCCATTGTTGTGTATTCCATTTGTTATGATTTTGAAAATCAGCTTAAAATATCTTAAATACATCACAGTAGTAACAATAATCATACCAAGTCACTGGCTGTCATTTAGGAACAAATATGGCTGATGAAAAGACAAAAATGGCTTACAATAAAATTGATTTTCAGAGATGCCTAGTGACTTGTACAGTGTCATGAAGTTGAATAAATCACATATTTAGAATTATTTAATTGGTTTTCAAACACTGAATAATTAATGAATGTTGATGAATATTTTTCCCTCAGGGCTAAAGAATATGAAAGTTTATTGGAAGCAAAAAATGCCACCTCTGAATCACCATACAAAGCAAAGTAAGTATTTAACTGTATACTTCAGTTGTCTGTGTTTTTTGTAGACATGCATCTGCAACTTTTCCATAGAGGCTGATGTGGTAAACTTTCCATTCAATACTTGATATACTGTCCTCTTGAACTACAGATCAGTTCCTAACACAGAAAGTCAGCGCCATAACCACTTCAATGATAAGATGCAAAATATGCATCTCCACACAATAGGCAAAGAGGTTAGCAGGGGCCAACATTTTAGGTTCCAGTGACCCAAATGAGGCTCCAGTACAATATAATGCCCATAAGAGAGAGAAGAATTTTTGCAGGGTTTTCATTTATTTCACAAGGAATTTTGCCATTGGCAGTGTATCTTGGGCCACATATTCATTGGCTTCAATGATGCTTCACCAGTGTACGCCAGCTGAGTGATGATCTGGCCACTTGTCTCTGTAGACACATTCATTATTAACCCATTGATAGGCAAATCTAGGATGCTGGGGACCAGGAAATTTGTTTTAATGAAGTTAAAAATGGTATGCAAGCTCAGTGAATTAACACAAGTTTAAGAGTCAGAAATGTTTTGGAGACCACCAGCTGGAAGAATGATTGTGCAAACATGCACTCAAAATAGGATTGTAATGTAGAAGAGGTAAGTATAGAAAACAATTTAGAAATGAAATTGTTTGTACAACTACTGAAACTTAATTTTGCAGTGCCATCCATAATCTACTCTGTCCACTAGAATTTCTGTTTAAGGCTCCCCCAGCCAAGAATCAATATGGCTGCTCACACAGATAAAGAAGATGATTCTGGCAACCTGCATCTCATAGCTCCATTCCTGTTGTAGATCTCTTCTTTGCTATCTGAGCAGCATTGCAGTACCCTCTAAGGATAAGGAAGGGAAAGAGAATGTTCCTGCTCTGCTGGGCCAGGTTTGCCCAGTAGTTGTACTAGTTTGTTCATGATATCACTAGTTTACCCAGTAATAGCCTCAGTAGTTGCTCCTTCAACCAACTTCTAGAGAAGCCTGGTTTGCCCAGACTGAGACCTTCCATATAAACTGTCGATCTCAAATGTACATTACAGGGCCTGGAGAACTTTACAAAGGTGGTGTAAAAAGTGACACAAGAGATATGGGTGTGTTCCAGCCCTCAAATCTGAAATACTTTGCATTTGTCCTGATTTAATTTCATCCTATTTACTTCAGACCATTTCTCCAGTTTGTCCAGATAATTTTAATCTTATCGTCCAAAACAGCCCCTCCCACTTGGTATCATCGGCACACTTTATAAGTGTACTCTCTATGCCATTCTTTAAATCACTGATTAAGATACTGAAGAGAGCAGGACCCTACTTGATATGCCCTTCCAGTTTGACTATGAACCACTGATAACTACTCTCTGGGAACCGTTTTCCAACCAGTTATGCACTCACTTTTTTGTAGCTCCGTTTAGGTTGTATTTCCCTAGTTTGCTATGGTAAGTAATATATAAATACATATAATCTAAGCAAGTCAAATAGCAACTATAAAAGACAGCCAACTCAGACTTTTGGATACTTTTTGTGAACAAAATTATTAGTCAGCTGCTAGTGATGTAGGTTCTACTTAACCACATTGTCTTTTCCCCCTTGTGCTCGGAGCTTCTGATATTAATTGTACTGCTAATAATAATCAACAAATTGTTCCCATTTTCCATGTGATTTTATCAGTGATGGCCGTCACTAGGCATCTCCATCAAATGGCACATCATAAACGCTCTGGGGTAGAGGGTACTGTTGTTGACTTCCATTTCTTAATAATTAGAGTAAGTATTATGACAGATTAGTACTCTTGGATTTCTGCTTCCTGTGTGTGGCTGCCAGGAAACTCCTAGTTAAAGCCTGATTGTCAGACAGTAGCAGGGTGGGCATGTGTCTGGCTCTCCTTGAAACACTGGTAAACCATAGTGCCTTCAAAAAGAAAAGGAGTACGTGTGGCACCTTAGAGACTAACCAATTTATTTGAGCATAAGCTTTCGTGAGCTACAGCTCACTTCATCGGATGCATACTGTGGAAACTGCAGAAGACATTGTATACACAGAGACCATGAAACAATACCTCCTCCCACCCCACTCTCCTGCTGGTAATAGCTTATCTAAAGTGATCACTCTCCTTACAATGTGTATGATAATCAAGGTGGGCCATTTCCAGCACAAATCCAGATTTTCTCGCCACCACCCCCAGCAACACACACACACACAAACTCACTCTCCTGATGGCAATAGCTCATCCAAACTGACCACTCTCCTTACAATGTGTATGATAATCAAGGTGGGCCATTTCCAGCACAAATCCAGGTTTTCTCAAACCCCCCCCCACACACACAAACTCACTCTCCTGCTGTTAATAGCTCATCCAAACTGACCACTCTCCTTACAATGTGTATGATAATCAAGGTGGGCCATTTCCAGCATAAATCCAAGTTTAACCAGAACGTCGGGGGCGGGGGTAGGAAAAAACAAGGGGAAATAGGCTACCTTGCATAATGACTTAGCCATTCCCAGTCTCTATTTAAGCCTAAATTAATAGTATCCAATTTGCAAATGAATTCCAATTCAGCAATTTCTCGCTGGAGTCTGGATTTGAAGTTTTTTTGTTGTAAGATAGTGACCTTCATATCTGTAATTGCGTGACCAGAGAGATTGAAGTGTTCTCTGACTGGTTTCAGCTGTACCACTGTAGAAACTCAACCATCCCGTGATTTTTCACCTGAAATTTTCCTTTTATTTTTGACTTGAACTAACTATAATGATTTTTTTTTTTTTTTTGCTTCATTGGACTCACCAGTCTCAGCCCCTCATTAGCTCCTGTGGCTTCTCTTCTTTTAATCTGATTTTTCTCTTGTTTCATCTGTTTTCTTGTGTATCTTCTTTATTTTTATATCTCTTGTGTCTGAAGAACTTATAAACTCTGCAGGAATCTTATTCCTGGTGGCTCATTCTACTCCTACTGGAGTACAGCATGTCTGTTGGGAAGTCTGCGAAGTTTTATAAATTCTTCTAGAATGTTGACAAAGTTTTCAAAGGCTCAGGTATTCATAGCAAGTATTTCCAAAAAATAAATCCCATGCACTTGACTAGTCCTCACAGAGGAGAAACGAATAAAACACTTTTAGTGTTTACTTGCTGCTCTGAATACCGGGAGATCACTGAGCGATGTTCAGTCGCCGAGTTGATGGCATTCGTTCTGAATTCTCACTTAACAGAGAGGGTCCTATGAAGGCTGCCATCTTCCACTCTACATGATTACACTCTAATGTATCTCGGAGTGAAACTCGACTGCACCCTCTCCTTCCATAGTCATCTTGAGAACATAGCTGCAAAGATAAAAATGAGAGACAACGTAATCCAGAAACGAGCATGTATAACCTGGGTTGCATCAGCATCAGTGTTGCAAACATCTGCAATAACACTTGTATATTCAGTAGCTGAATATTGTGCACCAGTATGGAGCAGATACAGTCACATATGACTCGTGGATACCCAGCTAAATACAGTGATGCGGTGCACCATGGGAACCCTTAAGTCAACTCCAACACTATGGCTACATGTCCTGTCTAATATCGCTCCCCTTTCGATATGCCGAACTGCTGCAACGTTCTGCAAAGCTCAGCGAATCCAGGAAAACAGATGTCTTCCTATTCACCAAGACCTTGACAACACCACACACACAGCCCGCAACGTCTTAAGTCCTGCAAGTCCTGCTTTCTGGGAACATTCGTTATGCCTCATTCAATCAGGCTAGATCAGAAGGCGGCTTGGAAAGGAAATTGGGCTAGACAAGACTTAAAAAATAAGCACCTTGTGCCAGATCCCACACAGAAGGTTCCTGGGTTTGAACTTCCATGGTCATCTTGGTTAACACTGAACTGAATTCTAACCAACCATGGTAGATGCAGATATCTAATGCACAAATGGAAAATCAAGGACTCCCTGGTGTGCAAGTGTGGTTCCCCATGACAGACCATTGAACATATCACTACCGACTGCCCAATTTATAAATATGAAGGAGGCATTGCTGCAATAAATTCTCTACTCCTGATGTAGCCATTTGGCTCGATCAACTTCAGGTGAAATTGTAGTTGCTCCTCTACACCAGCCACACGAAAGAAGAAGTGTTTACTAAATTAACAGTTTTTAGCATACAATACCAGAAAAATTAGAAGATGTGGCTAGGGATTCTAGGTTTTCTAAATACAGATGAGAGGCTTATTGTGTACACAGGTATTATGTAGACAGAGAGCATATTGTTGATAGTTAACAATAAATAAACAATAGAAGTAGTAGATTACTATATAATAAAATTATATTAAATCAGTTTTGTATTACAGCACTGACACTAGTGACAATAACCCTTAACTGTTCAGAAATTAATGAGATTTAGTCTCACAGTTGGAAATTTAGGGGGCAGAAGACTAGTGTTCAGTCCAGTATATTTAACTGTCATTATGTTCCAAACTAAAACAGGTATTGCCAGAGTCCTATAATAAAAATCTCTAGGGCTGAATCCTATTGTCCTGACCTGTCCTGGTGCCAGACCAGTTTCCAGTGCAAGTTAGAGCACCCTGATAGTATTCTACTGTGGTTCCCCAGGCTATGCGCAAATTGCAACATTATGCATCTGCAGTACATAAAATCGGATTGAATTCTAAAAAGTCTGTTGGATTACTTTGTTAGATTATCTTCTAAGTAGATATCTGAAAAATATAGGACTAGGTGGTTTCCTGAGATTCCTGACCGTGAATGGAAGGACAAGAGTGGGTGGGTGGGTGGGTGGGTGAAAAGAGCTTATGCCCCCTCATGGACGTTGAGTATAATCCTGGTTCTTGCACTCACTTGAGTGTAGGGATCACATGATCTGGAACTGCAAGCCGCCTCAAAGTGAAAGGGAAGGCTTGAGAAGAAGGAGCAGCAGAACCAACTAGTCACAAAGTGGTTGAGCATGCACGACACCCTTTGAAGCAGGGAACAGTGGACATTCTCCC